AATATCTGACTAAACTATTTGATTGATATGGTAATGGTATAGATATAAAAAGCACAATTACTTGTAATTAATCTTAGGATATATTTTAGGATATATATTAGAGGAAATATACATCCATCCTAAAGCGTATTCCTTATTTTCTTATGAGAAAGTAATTTAAGATGCTCCAAACCTCTTTAAAAATTTTTTATTTCTGGGACTGGAGAGATGGCTCAGCGGTTAAGAACACTGACTGCTCTTGCAAATCAATGAAATGTTGAATGGTTAAAAATAATTAGAATCAAGTCCTGTAAAATGGCGGGTACATTCTGTTCTGATGACATGGAGTAATTGGCAGCTATCTGTGCATGTTTCTTTAAATGCAAAAACATTTCCAAAGCATCAGAAATCATGCATCATATAATTTATAACTGTACTAGTTATAAGATAAAATATATTATAGCTGCTCTTGCAAAGGACCTGGGTTTGATTCCCAGCACCCACATGGCCGCTACAAACTGTCCTTAACTCCAGTTCCAGGGGAATCCGGATCCCTCTTCTGACCTCTGCGGCATTGCATGACATGGGTGCACTCACATACATGCAGGCAAGATACTCATACACATAAAATAAAAAAATAATTTAAAAAGAACATTAAAATTTTTTTCACTTCGTTTGTGTTTTTTATTAAATGAAATGTTTAATTATTGAACATAAATATTTTTAAATACTCTAAATTCTAGGAATACTAGGTATCATGAATCACACTTGTAATCCTAACATTTGGGAAGCTGAGGCAGGAGAATCACTTTAGGTTCAAAGCCACCTTATACTACACAGTGAAACTCTGTCTCAAAAAGCCAAACAAAATAAAATAATTAGGAACTAGACCTAGTGGTGTGTTGACGTAGTTTAATAATCTGGTTATTATTATAACAACAAGTTCTCTGTATAAAAAAGGTGAAAAAGACTGATTTATAATGTTGCTGATTTTCTTGGTACAAATATTTGAGCTATGGCCCATTTCAGTAACCCATTTGATATCAACTGGGAGGTAAGTTTATTTATTTTTATTCATACATTTATCTTAACAGATGCAGAGAAAGCATTTAATAAAATTCATATTCCTTGAAAAACTTAGGTTTATAATGATCAGATGTTAAAAAAAAATAAAGGTTACGTATGACATACACAGCCAACATCATACTAAAAATGAAGAAGTGAAAGTGTTCTCTAAGATGAGAAACAAGGGAGGCTATTTGTTCTGATCACCCTTACTCAACAAACTAGAAGTTTTAACCTTCGTAATTAGGTAAGAGAATAAAGTAAAAGGCATACAAATAGGAAAGGAGAAAGGCAAATCATTCTGTGTGCTAGGGGAAAAAAAAAATCAATCCCATAATTGGCTATCATAAGTCTATATAAATTGACTCCAAAACACCATTAACCTAGATGATTTGATATTGAAACCTTTGAGCTATCTACAAAACTATTTCTCAAAATACAAATTTCAGGTTACAAGTTTAATAGCCTCATTATTTAATATGAATAGCTAAAAATTTAAAGTATCACCATTCTACAAAGCAAATGTCATTACCAACTTTATTGCTGATGTAGCAGAGCTAGTTACATAGCTCTATGAAAGAAATTTAACATTATGCTACATACTGTGTCAACCTGCTACTCTCTAAAATCTAGGAAACATTTAATATTAGATAAGATTTTTTAATTAAAAGCATCTTTGTTTTACTGATTCCAAAGTAAAATATGAATTTAGCTTAGAAAACAGGTAGTTTTAAAACGTTAAGGAAAGGGGCTGGAGAGATGGCTCAGCGGTTAAGAGCACCGACTGCTCTTGCAGAGGACCTGGGTTCGATTCTCAGCACCCACATGGTGGCTATGAACCATCCTTCACTCGAGTTCCAGGGGAATCTGATGCCCTCTTCTGACCGCGGCATTGCACGACACAGGTGCACTTACATACATGTAGGCAATGCACTCATACACATAAAATAAAAATAATAAATAAAATATATATTTTTTAAAGTTAAGGAAAAAGCCAGGCGTGGTGACGCACACCGTTAATCCTAGCACTTGGGAGGCGGAGGCAGGCGGATCTTTGTGGGTTCGAGGCCAGCCTGGTCTACACAGTGAGTTCCAGGACAGCTGGGGCTACAGAGAGACCCTGTCTCAAAAAAAAAAGTTAAGGAAAAAAGTCAAAGTGCTATATTTTATTATCTAAAATAACATTATTTACATTTTCATTTACACATAGGTATAAATTTTTTCTTTTTTCTTTCTTTTTGGTGGGACTAGAACTCACAGGCTAGCATTCTACGCACCTGCCCTAAGCATGTATTTTCCCATATAAGAACATTATCATGAAGAGCATTCATATAGACTGTACAAATTCGAATTACCATCCTATATTTGTGTTTTAAATTGAAATAAAATACTGGCAGAATTTTGGAGAAAAAGTTGTTGTTGGCCTTTCAACAGACTATTTTAGCCTTTATAATAACAGATAGAAATATCTCTGAGTTTGTCAAATTTGGCTATGTATATAGTCTGTCAGACTAGTTTAAGTGGTATTTTTTCTAAATATTATGGGAAAGATATTGCAAAAAAACTTGGATAAATGAAGATTTGTTGTGGTTTGTATTATTTTCTCAGCAATTCTATACCCTTGCTCCTTCTGGAAGTATAGAATATTCCTTTGGCATTTACAGCCTTTGCAAAGTTTCCCAAATTGATACCTTAATTTCTTTCTTTCCATCTGGTACAGGATTGCTAAGATATATTAAAGCATTCTTTAAGTGGCCCTTTAAAGTACTTGAATGTATATGATGAAATGAGGAACTAAATTTTTAATGTCTTTGTCACTAAAACAAACACAAAGACATTACAATACCTTTTATTGTATAAATAAAGCAGTATAGAATTAAGAAGATAATATTTTTGCTCCCAAACACCCTGGACACAGTGACCAACAGACAATCGTGGGCCACGTGTTAGTGAGAGCACTCTACACTTCACCTTGGACTCAAATATTTTCAAATTAGGTTCTCCACCTCCATTTTGTCATAGTTTATCAACAGTGAAATTTTACTTTTTGCCTATACCATTTTTTTAGAAGCTCTACTTTATTGTTTGTTGCAGCTGGTTTTCTGGCTGTTCTCTCTGCCTGTTGCACACTGAAATGTTTAGAAAGTCTCATGGCCTTGGCTTGAACTACAAGTTCATGAAAAGATGTTTCTTGAGTATATTCTCAAACCACACATTAACTAAATTTCTAATTTTTACTAATTTACTTTTCTAACTTGAAAACTAATCTTTTACCTTGATTAGAACATTCTTTAAAATTGTTCAATGAGTCCAGTTCTTTAGTTTCAGTGTAAGCTCTGTATACACTCTGTATCATGTACCTAAGTCCACATCCTCTCTTCAGGTCATCCCAGAATTCATTTCATTTTCTATCTCGTCCAAATATACTTTAGATTTTTTAAATCTTTTCTTCACCTCATTGCAAGAACTAATAGCAGTTTTAGATATTTTTCATGACAATAAAAATGCTTTTAAAAATACTTTTGTGGTACCACATATACAATAAAGTTGTATTGAGCTGCATAGACTAAAATCCAACTCACTGGAAAAGCAACTGTACCTGAGAATGAAGGAGTCCAAATTTAGCAAAATGCCCACTCACTGCATGCCCCAATGGCCTTTAGATCACTCAAGCATGAAAATAGCCTCAAATATAAAAGTATGACCAGGAAAATGATCATACATACTACATATTGATTTGTAGATAAGCCCATGCACTCTTCTGCATCTGTTTATTTTTCCTTAGAGAAGTGGGGTAGGCATAGGTTAACTGAATTTCTTTTAAAAGCATTAAAAAACAGCTTGTTTTTTGTTTAAGGCATACTCGCTAAACATGGAAGGAGACACATTATTTTGTAGAAAAGAAAGTTTCCGTTAAGCTACAACTAAGGGATTTTCTACATGTTTCTGTAGACAGTTCAGGCTTCTTTTGACATCATTTTTAATAAACAGCAATACAATCCCAGATAACTTGAGTAAATGAATGCATTTGCAACATTCATTTGGCATCACATTCTCTTGATGATTATGGCATTTGATATGTTCTTTTATGCCCTCTTTGTCAGCCTGGTTCTTCATGTCAATCTATAGTCTTTTATGTGGTTAACTTGACAGATGCAGGAAATTGCTGCCAAGCTTTGAAATGAATTTTTTCAGCAGTGGCATCTGGGTATCAGATGGTCCTCTTGGCTGGCCTCTTGTCTTGCTGCATGTTGGTTTTAGTGGGGTCTGGTGTAGCATCACCTGTTGCTATGCTCCCTTTTCCTCCCATATGTCCATTTCCCATGATTCAAGGATGAAAGTGAGAATAAAAGCTACATTTCTGTCTCTATTTGAGAAAAAAATCTACAGAAATATGTTACAAGGTGCAGAGTTCTCTCTCTGACAAAGGGATACTTCCCTTTGGCTGGCATGCCTAACCAGCTAAGAATTTGGTTGCAAAGACCAAGCTTTATAAGCATTTTAGAGGAGAGGCAAGAAGAAGGCTGCTGATTAATTAGCGGAAGTGTCAAAGCTGCTTTATTTCCTTTGATTTGCATTAAGCCAAACTGTTCCTATTGTTATAGAACATAATTAAGGGAAATCATATTTTCATTTTCCTTACATGTTTGTATTTAATTCGTATTTAATAAATTGCATTTCACCTAGAGCTCTAAGTTCTGAAATGAAAATTATTGTATCAGAAATAATTTATCTTGACAACTTCCAGAAGTCCAAAATGGCACTCTTTTCATCCATATCATGTTTTTAAAACAGTAAGAGCAACAGGAAGTCACTGTTAGGAGGAAGATTCTCTTCATATTACTAAATTGGAGTGAACATGGAAGCTTAGAAAGTTCAAAGTGTGCTAAAAAACAAAACAAAACAAAACAAAACAAAAACTAAAAAAAAAAAACAAAAAAACCCTGACTCTCAAGGTCTCTGTCTTCTGTCCTTTGATGTTCATCTTGTGGCCCCAGTCCTTCCCATAGAGCCCATTGCTTTTAGAAGTACCATAAATTTAAAAGAGTTCAGGGACACAATTGCACTGAACTCCCTCAAAGGTAGGAATTTAATTAACTAGATTCTAACTCATAGTCCCTAGGACTAAACACTTTTGTAATTGCTTAAGGCATTGTTCCTTAACAACATCAAAATGTGAGTTCTATGTTATAAAGCTCTATCTTGCAAATGGTTTGCAAAAGGGTTTTTTCTTATGCATTTTTGGTTATGCCGATACCAGGATGATTATCCTCCCATTTTCCAGATCTCTTCTGGTAGTTATGCTCATGATCAGTCCAAATTTAATGGCTCTATTTATTCTAGAATTACAATGATTAAATTGAACTCTAAGAGGTGTTTTAAGGATTTTTTTTTTTTTTTTAAAAGTCAGTCTACTCAGGAGGCAGAGGTAACCAGATGGCCCATGAGTTCAAGACCAGGCTGGACTACATAGTGAATTCCAGGCTACGAAGGCTACATAGTGAAGCATTGTCTCAATAAAGGAAAAAATGTCAGTCTTTAATGTGTAGTGATTGCTTCTTGTACCTAATAATTATGCTAAAAACTATGGGAAATGCAGGTAAATTATATAAATTATCTGCCCCTTAATAAGCATATGGTTTTAATATAGTGGTACCTAACATGCCCCCAACATTTACCATACAACACATGTTATTCTCAGTGATTTCTAGAATTAAATAATTCGATTCTCACAGCTTAATCAGATGCCTTTTATTATCATTATCACTTTCTTTCAGGTAAGGAAAAGGCCCAAGAGGTTAAATAATTTGCCCAAGGTCTTTTGAGCCAGCATTTGATCCCAGGCAGTCTGTTTCCAGAAAATATACTCTTTATTTATTTATGTGTATGAGTGTATAGCCTATATGTAGGTGCACCCGTGTCATACAATGCCCGTGAGGTCAGAAGAGGGTATCTGATTCCCCTGGAAGTGAAGTTACAGACAGTTACTAGCCACCATGTGGGTTCTGGGAATCAAACCTGGGTCCTCTGCAAATGCAGCCAATGTCATCTCTCCAGCCCACAGAAAATACACTCTTAATCTCTATATTTTATGGCCTCTCATGTAGTAGTATTTTAAAAAATTAAAAATAAAAACTGTAGGGGTTGACGAGTTGGCTCAGCAGTAAAGAGTACTGACTACTCCTCCTGAGGACCGAGATTTATATCCCAGCACCCACATGGCAATTAACAACTATCTGTAAGTCAAGTTCCAGGGTATCCAATGCCCTCTTCTGGCCTCCATGGGCATTGCATGCACATGGTACATGCAGATAAAATATTCATACACATAAAATAACAATAAATTAATTAAAAATTCTTAAAGAGTGTAAATAAGTTTTAAAAAACTTAAGAACTGGAAAACAATGTAATTCAAGCTTTTTGCTACCTCTGAGGTTTTGCACTTTCTATACTTAGAGGGGACAGCAAGAGAGGGTAGTAGTGCTCTTCCCCATCCTTTGAGTTCCCTCAGAACTCTGACCTAATCAGCCTGTCAAGTAAGCAGTCGCTGAACATCCTTTGCACCTGTTTTTCCTCACTCACATTTCCTGCCTGCTTCTAGGAAGCACTTAGTTTTGCAATACCTGGAGGATAGTGATCGTGGCGTAATGAGAAGACAGAAAAGACAAATGTTATCATTTCAAGGAGTTGCTGGATTCTGTAGTGCGGTAATAAACTGAGAATAAAGTCACACTGTTCTGAGGTAAAATTGAGAATGAATAAAGGAACTTCGGCTCTATGATATTTTCCTCAATAAAATATTACCCACTGAAATAAGAGAGCACTGTTAGAAACAGCATTTCAGAATTTATCTCCAGGGAATCAGATATGAGGGGGCCTCTCCAGTGTTGTCAGGAAGTGGTTTCTCTTCACAATCAAGTCATCTTAGCTGTATTGTTGACACAGTTCCTTTCCTTTCTTTCATATTTTTTTAACAGAAAGGTTGTGGGTATCACCTGGATCTGTTAATGGTGGCTGTCATGCTTGGGGTGTGCTCCATCATGGGCCTGCCGTGGTTTGTGGCTGCCACTGTCCTCTCCATCACACATGTCAACAGCCTGAAACTGGAATCAGAATGCTCAGCTCCAGGAGAACAACCCAAATTTCTCGGCATTCGAGAACAAAGGGTTACTGGGCTTATGATTTTTATTCTTATGGGTTCATCAGTCTTTATGACCAGTATTCTGAAGGTAAAGAAATCATCCCTTTCAAATTTGAGATAAAATAAATATATGTATGTTTAAATTTTTCATTTTGAGTTAAGGCATAAATTAGTAAATATTGTGTGGCCTGAGATGAAAGTGGTATTTTTTACCATATTTTTTATAATTCTTTCATCTAAAAGATTAAAATTTTGTCTTGTGTTTTAGAATCTTAAATGAAAATATATACTGGAAAAGTGAAATGTGATGTGTGCTTTCAAGCTATGGGAAAAAGTAACTCTTTCTGACTTACTTGTAGCCTGAATTCACTGCAGACCTACTATGTTTAAGTTTTTAATTTGGGGGCTCAGACAGCTTGAATATTATTAGCTGTAAGTAGCAATGCAGACATGACAAACGGCAGGGTTATGTGGCAGCTTTATGTTTGGAAGGCTCTGTGTGAACACTACTTGTGCACCATCAATGCATATAAGTATTTTTCACACTTAAAATTATTGAATTTATTATGAATAACAGTAAAGAGTGATTGTTTTGCTGTGCAATTCTGGCAGGTATTCCAATGGTGTGTTATTTGCATTATAAATTATCACTCATTTTGGTTGCCAATAATTTAAAATATTAATTGAATCATTTAATAATTTACACAGCTCCTTGTATGTAATCATTGAAACAAGTATATTTGTAATATAAGTAATTTTTATGTAGAATAAGAATGATCTTTCCAAATAAAAGAGATTTGAACAATCTGCACATTTACAAATATCTGCCATACTTAAGAACTCCATTTTAAAAGTAAGCTTCATTCTTCACCATTAATTTAAATATCTTGCTGTTCTGAAATAAAATTTAAACTAAATAGTATAATAGTTCATATTTATTTTGACACAATAATAGTTTATATCACTGTTTATCATGTATCATGTGATTCTTACAGATACCTTTAATACTTTATAACTATCCCATTGCTATAATGTCTTTTTAGATATTAAGAACTAAGATCCAGGCAGCTTAACTTGTTTAATGTTATACAGAAAAAAAACAAAAACAAAAACAAAAAACGATGCTAAGGTAGAATTTGAAACTATGTCTTGTGGTTCTGTACTATAATTGCTTCTAAAATTCTTTTACCTGTTTTTTTTTTTTATTTTCTAAGTACAAAATTGAATGACCACGTATTGATAAATAATGTGTGTTGTTTCCTTCATTGCTCTTTTATAGTTTATTCCCATGCCAGTGTTATATGGAGTGTTTCTTTACATGGGTGCTTCATCTTTAAAGGGAATTCAGGTAAATTACTTTCAATCCTACAAGTATATCTGTGGTATAAGGTCTGGATGCTGAGTTATATGACAGTTGAAAAAGGTATCAACTGAGGAGAGACTTTGAGACCACACCTAAATTTCATCAAACTGACCAGAATTGCAGAAGTTAAAGATCCTCTGTTAGGCAAGCACCCTATCATGGAGCTACCTCTCTACTCCCAAAGATGTATAATCTTGAATGACTCTGTGTGTGTGTGTGTGTGTGTGTGTGTGTGTGTGTGGTCTCAGAGCATCCAAAGTAAGTTCTAATAATTTACCTGTGAATTAGAATAGAAACTATTTGGGAGAGAACTGAGGCCCAGACATGTTGACACATGACTTTCAGTTGAGTGCAGAGCCTAAAGTGCGCGCGTGTGTGCGTGTGTGTTTTCATGTATATGGGTTGTGCTTGTGTGTGGAGGCTAGAAGACAACCTTGGATGTTGTTCCTTAGGAGCTATCCACCTTGTTTTTGTGACATGGACCTCTCACTGGCCTGGAACTCACTGACTAGGTTAGTCTGAGTGGCCCATGAACCACAGGGATTTATCTGTCTCTGCTTTCCCAGCACTGGGATTACCAGCATACAGTGCATCACTATGCCTGGCTTTTTAATGTGGCCTCTGAGGATCTACCTCAAGTCTTTATGCCTTGCAAGGCAAGCACTTTACCACTTGAGCTATATTCCTAGCCCTTAAAATATTTGTATTTACCATAAATATATTAACACTGAATGCTTAACTTTTACTACCATTCTTTTAGAAAATGAAGTACATTATATATACATATGTATATATATATATATGTAAAACAACCATTGATGCTCTATCAAACCATATTTATGGACATCTATTCATGACAATAGAAAAATGCCTCATGAAAAACAGAAATAATCTGTTTAAAAAATGTTCATTATAACACATAATGCTAAAACTTTGGAAACAGCCCAATTACCCAATAGCATTAAAATAATTAAGCACATTCATTGAAAATTCATGATGATAATGATCACCAAAGAAACATGGTAAAAGTACTTATTGTACAAAGGGGGGAATAAAACCTACCACACATTTATAAAGCATTAGCTTGATCTGGATTAAAAAATCAAGGTGGAAAAATAAACATAATTTCTGCAAAGAGTGAAAGCCTGGTTAATTTTCTTTTTCATTGATGTTTGTTTTTATTCTATTACAATTACACAATAGAATTGTTTTAAAAATTAAACCAAAACAAAGGCATAAGGTAAGGCACTTTCAAATGTAAAGGAAACTGTGCACTTAAATACTGCTTATATAAGTATTTAGGTGTTTCTTTAGTTTTCTATTGCAGCCTAAAATATTGCTACATAGTTTAAATAGCTTAAAACAAGAATTCTTCATTAGAATGAGAGTTATGATAGTCATGAATCTGGGAGTGAATTAACCGGGTGGTTCTGGCTCAAAATATTACCTCAAAATATTACCACATCATGTTGTCATGATGTGGACAACAGTTGCCAGCATCTGAAGACTTGATAGAGTGGAGGACCAGCAATATAGCTTATTACAGAATTGTAGGCAATAGGCATCATTATCTTTTCCATACTTGTTAGTAGGAGGCTTCAGATTTTTGCCACAAGTGCGACTCCATACTTTCATGTGCTCACATGGAAGCCAATTTCCTCAGATGAGCAATATAAATTTTTTTTGGTGTGTGTGTGTGTGTGTGTGTGTGTGTGTGTGTGTGTGTGTGTAAGAGAGGAGAAGACAGAGAGGGTATGGATAAAGTTATAAAGACTTTTGGTTTGTTTTCCAAAATTACATGTGGTTATGTCAGTGTTTCTCTTCTTCTGTTTGTCAGAAGTGAGTCATTAAATCTAAGTTTTGTAAAAGAGGAGGAAAGTTAGACCTCATCTTTTGAAGATCAAAAAGGTTGCAGATATATTAAAATCCTCCGTGAGCATATTCTAAATCTCCAGAGAACTATTAGCAAATTCTTCCTGTTAATTTCTTTTAGGATGTTACAAGTTGACTAATGAGTGTTCCCTCAAAATTACTTTGTGTAATTACAACAAAAACAAAACAAACCAAAAATAAAAAACACTGACAGAAACAACTTAAGAGAGGAAAGATTTATTTTGGCTCATGGTTTCAAGGGATTTCGATCCCTCATAGCAGGAAGGCATGGTAGAATAACACGGAGTAGTGGTTGGTCACATGGCAGCAGACCAGAAAGCAGACTGTAGAAAGTGATCCAGGATCTGGCTGTAACTTTCAAGGGCAGGCTCCACCCACTAAAAGTTCTACAATCTCCAAGGGGGATCCACCACTGGGGATCAAGTGCTCAGAATATGAGCCTGTTGTGGGGACATTTAGATTTTAACCTCAACAGAAGAGCACTTAAAGACAGGTTAAAAAGCCATGTCAGGATAGAGATAAAGACTGACCTCTTGCTGCCACAAGCCAAAGATACCTGAAGTCAGCAAGAGCTGAAAAGTTTTCTCTCCTTGGGCCTGAAGAGGGCTCTTGGTCCAGCCAAGCTCTTGGTTTTGGACTTCTGGCCTCCCACCACTGTGGCAATACGTTTTTATTGCATTGAATCAAAATGCTGTGCTAATTACTTATACAGCCTTACGAAATGAATACAGACTTCTACTTAAATGCACTTTTGAATTTATAACAATACTATTCAGCCAAAACACTTTAGTGTTCTTGATAAAGATTAAATATGAGGTCTATTTATTGTGTAGATCTTTTACAACTAAAAATATGTAAAGTGTAGCTTTTACTATGCTGTACCTAGTCTTATTTATGATCAAAACGTACAGAACAATGATCTAACTGGGAAGCAGGAAGCACAGTCTCTAATCCTGACGGAAAACCCTACCGGCTTCTGGCTTTGGGAGAGGCAGCATTCAGGACTTGGGACAGTGTTTGGAGTCAGAACTGAGGTAGAAGTTCAGTGTGAAGCCATTGTTAGATACCAGAACATGTAAAATACAGAGACACTGTGCCTCTGTTCATCTCAACACCAGTTCAAGCAAACTAGGGAGAGGGGATGACTGAGAACTGTTACGTGTCTAAAATTTTAGTCAAATATGATTTTTTAAAATCAGTTTTTAAGTTTTATCTATGAAAAATGTTTTTCTAGGTTTATTTTGGTAAGACTGTTAGTGAAGAGTACCAGGGAAATTTCATTTATTTGCTTTGCTATTTCTTTGTTTTGTTTTATGTTTTATTTTTGCTTTTAGCAAAAGTTCCAACAAGTACTAATTTCAACTGCAAGTGAAAAGTATTTAATATTAGGCCCTAGGCTCACATAAATACAGCAATAGAAATTTAAGAAGCAGAGTAAAATCATTCTGAGAGTTTTCAACAGATTTTATCCTAATTCTACTCACTTGATTTTATATCCATGTGGTTTAGAATTAAACAAGAATGTCAAGTTTGAGTATGATTTGGGATGTGACTCAAATGAAATAGGAGAAAATATCAAAGTCCACAGGTTAAAAATAATGAATTTTAAATAACATTAATGAAATAGAAAGCCAGGACCCATGTTGAAAACATGCTCTCACACTGATATCAGGGCTCCAAGCCCAGTAGTTGAAATTCCTGCTGGGATTTGTAGCTAACTAGGTGGGGAAATGATGTATTGCTGTTGGAACATGATGAAAGCTGAATGTAAAACAGAATAGATTTATCATGATTGTTATTTCTGGGGCAGTAATAGTTAAACACATGTTAGATATCTATGTTAAATATCTCAAAGAGCATGATACTTTGTTATCATGTAAGTTGGAGGAATCTATATGTCACCTGACTTTTTGGCAGTGTTAAGGAACTTACTATGTAGGCTTCTCACTGTGAAATATGGCAGAAAAAACAGATCACAATGTTCTCATGAATGCTGTTTCTGTATTCAAATATATAACCACATCTATATTCATTCCAACATTTCAGGAATCCAAAGTAAAGCAAATGTGCCACTTAAACAATAACAATTGAAGCAGCCACTCACTGAAGTACACTTATGCAATAACAGCTTCATAAACGGAGAAATGATGGCTGGGGAAGATTCTATAGAAACAGACAGCTGCAAGCTAAAAGATTTTATTTCTTTGCTGTTCTTTCACCATGAACAAAATTGTGTCGGTTTAATGACTTCCAACTTTAAGAGCTAGAAAGTAGAAAAGACACACGCTATGCGCACATGCACACACACACACACATACACAAATGCACATACATGCACACACACACACACACACACACGCAATGAAGAGTGATGAGCCAAGAATGATGAGTTCAGCAGTGCTCTTACAGGTTTCAATCAATATCTTTGGAAGATATATGAATGAATATTGTACAGTGGATGAAATGATTGACATGTGACCCTGGTTTACATAGCTGAAGAAAAAATAATTGTACCAAGCCATAAACAGAGAACATAGAAGGAATAATAGATAGATTGGGTCTTGTTTGCTATCCTATTATATGTAAAATCAAGTTTGGACAAAACAGGATGTTTTGACCTTAACATTTCAATTCTGCTGACAGTTGTCCCTCTGTATAGTAGAGTAAGTTTAGAATATTTGCTGATAATTGCTGACTATATGCTTAGAGTAGCTAAGAAATACTGTTAATTTTAATATGTGTTTGAAAATACATAGGTTATATTAACATAAAAATTGTATGAAGTAGAATAGTGAGTAACAGAGATTAAAACTATTGTTTACTGAATAATCACCTTTTTCTAGACGTATTGTAAACCACAAAATTTAGCCTAAATTAAGCCTAAAGTGACTCACACAAAATAAAACTAATATTGCATTAAAATTTGTTCATAAGTAAAATATGCTGAAGTAAAATTCTATAAAATTTAATTAAAATTAAATCAGCCAAGTATGGTGGTGCACACCTTCAGGCTCAGCACTCAGGAGGCAGAGGCAGATGGATCTTGTGAGATGGAGGCTAGCTTTGTCTCCATAGTGAGTTCCAGGCCAGCTGGGGCTACAGTGAGACCTTGTCTCAAAGAAGACAAAAAAAAAATCATAAATCATTACATCTATCTTTAGGACAAAATTTAAATAGAAATAAGTCATCGATTACATGGATACATCAATCAAGTTGTTTCAAATATGTGTGCGTTCGTATATGTATTGTATATATGTGTGCTTGTATATGCATGTATGCATGTGTTAGAGTGCAAACACAGACGCTTGTGTGTATGTATGCATGTGTGTGGAGGTCAGAAATCAATACTACCTCAGTTGCTTTCTGCCTTGATTTTTGAGACAAGGTCTCTCACTGAACTTGGAGCTCACAGACTTGGCTAGACTGACTAGCTTTAGGTAATCCCCATGTTTCAGGCCCCACCATCCCTAGGTTTACAGACGGACGCCAATGTGTCCAGTCTTTCATTGGTGCCAAGGATCTGAAATTAGGTCCTCAGGCTTTCACAGGAGGCACTTTGTTGACTAAGCCCTCTCTCTAGCTCCCCAAATAAAATAATATAATAAAGTATAATAAAAATACATAGAAGAGGAGTGTAGCTCAGTGGTACTTGCTTAATGTGTGGGATCCTGGGTCTGATTTTTAGTAGTGCATAAAAGAAAAAAAGAAGTCAACAAAGTTTATCTGGAAAACACTCAATGAAAATTTACACAAGTCAAATCTTTATAGTTAAGAAGTGTTTCTAAAAACAGCATCAAAACCTTTGTTGGCAATCAAAGTGGCAAAATCAGAAGATCAGGGTTCCAAGACACCCTTCGTAGCAGCTGGGTGTGCCTACTTGGAGAGAACTGAGACAGAAAGCCAGGCCTTGGAGTCATTAGCATGGGAAAGCTGAAGCGATGGGGGTGGTGGACCACTCCAGGGGAGAAAGAAGTGTACAGAGCGTGGGAACCCTGGAAGCCCAATATTTGGGGGCAAAAGGAAGAGATTATAGTGTGACAAGTTAAAAGAGGATGATTTTATTTCACCTCTCAGGGCTGTAGTCCCCAAGGTAGCAAAATGTAACATTGGCTTTACTATATTTAAACCCTTTTAAACTATAGCCTACTTTCATGTAAAAGATAACATGTAATATTCATCAAACTGTAGTCTGAATTTTGTGTCCGTTCCATTGTCCTTCAGTTTTTATAGATATGTCATTTGAACCCAATTGTTTGGATTATATTGAATGTCTGTCTTACTTTTATTGTTGTCTCATTCGCAAATGCAATGTAGTCTGTTTAATCTTTTAGTTGTTTGATAGAATAAGGCTCTTCTGGATGCCAGCAAAACATCAGCCGGATTTTATATACCTAAGGCACGTACCACTCCGAAAAGTCCACCTCTTCACAGTTATTCAGATGAGTTGCCTTGGCCTTTTGTGGATCATAAAAGTTTCAAGAGCTGCTATTGTCTTTCCTATGATGGTATGAAACTTCTCTTAACTCATTTTTACTTCCACCGATTTTTGGGTCTCTTTGGAAACACACGAACTAAATTTGCAGCAATAGAGTCACTTGAATCACTTTGAACAATTGCTGGAAACCCTAGTATAAACTTCCATACTCAAAAGTAATGACTGAAACAGAGTTTGAATAAATTATGCACTTCACTGATTTCGTGTCACTTTTGTTTTGGTCATTCTGAATTAACTTAATTGAAACCGAATTGGAAATGCAAATTTTCAAAATTCAGCTTTGAAGATACACAAACGTATATAAGAAGCTAGGAGGATTTTAAAAATTAAATTAACTGGATGCTTCAGACTAATTTCAAATACATGAAAAGTATAATTAATTTGAATTACATTATAAAAATTATTGGCATGTATAATAATCTAATGTTCACTTACAGTTCAAACTTTTAACTATGTACTTAGGGAAGCATAGTCTAATGTATTTTGTAGTTTTAAAAACAGCTTCTTTGAAATGTCTTTAACACTGGGTTAAATCTTTAATTTCATTCTGGTGATATGATAAGAAAAGGAAATGGTGGGAAGATCAGGCCATGTTTTATGCACATACGATTTCAGTTTTTTTAGTATCAGTCCTAATCCAAACTGACTCATTGCTACCAAAACATAAACAAGCAAATCTCTATGCCCTGTTTCAATTGTTTTCCAATTTAAGCAATTTTATTATATTCTTCAGGTGTTAGCCCTGGTATTTGTAAGAAAGTTAATGGACTTCTTATTTACCAAACGAGAACTCAGCTGGCTGGATGATTTAATGCCTGAGAGTAAGAAAAAGAAACTTGAAGATGCTGAAAAAGAAGTAAGTCAGAATAAAATGGATGTTTTATATAAGAATAAACACAGCAATAGCTCTTTTCAAAAGTATGTTGTTATATTTGTCATTAAACATTGATTATTAACAATAATAGGTAGGCTGACTTGGGAATTCAATCTTTAAAAAAATGGAGATAGGAGGAAAAGATAGAGATCACTTACGTGAGGGAAACCAATGCTTCCTGAAGCATGAAACACCCGCATTCAGTTACTCATACTTTTTGGATTCCTTACTCACGGGTGCAGAAAATTGCCAATGCTTAACTCTTTCTGAGTTATGTTAGTATAATGATTGTTTTTTTAATAGAATGTGAGAGAAGAAGAAATAAAGTGGCATGTTACTGTTGGAATTTTTCTAGTGAACAAGATTTTAACCAAAATATTTGAGTGAAAATCAAATCATTCTTAAAATAGACAAAATACTTAACACATGAACTGATTTGCTTCTAAAGTGATTTAAGGTTGAAAAAATGTTTGGGAATATTTGAGTTTTTGTTATTTTCACAGACTACTACTGATTTATTTTATTCTGTACATAGGGTAAAACTATTTTTAAGTTTTATGGCATATATAAAGTTTACATCTTAGCCTGTATCTATTTAAAGGCTATTTAATCATGCCATTTTAAAAGTATATAAAAAGATAAAGATTATAAATGAAAAAGAGCCATAACAACATTTTAACAGAATGACTGAGCCCAAAGATTATAGATTATAGAACATAAAACAAAATTTCAGTGTAGAAATGAAATGTAAAGGAAACAGTTTATGAGAATTGTGCACTGTTCTTTCTATTTTTCATGTTTCTACAGGTGGTCAGTAAATGCATTGTTTCTTTTCTATAGAGTATTTCCTCAGGATATATTTTTTCTTTCCTTTGGGGAATTCATTTATAAGCATGAAAGGGGTATTAAATTTGCTCAGTCATTTATATAGGCCAAATTATACCACAAATCTCATGAAGTGTCTGTTGAAAATATTCTACAAACATGGTTATGTAACATGCAATTGCCAATTCCTTTCTTTTTCCATGGTACTCTACTGCAGAAAATAGAAATCCACACTTAGAGACAGATCATGATGCTGCATCTTGTTTCTGTATGAATGTTTCAACTTTCCAAAACTTTGTAGAAGGCAGATACAGAATCATACTTTTAGCAATATTAATGTAACATTATAATATTTTAAAACTGTTATTAGTTCACTTTTCTGTTTGCTGTATTCATCTAAGTATTGGAGACCTTTCTAAAATAATGCTTCAACTATCCATACTTGATGAAATAAAAATTAATCATACTGAAATTTTTCCAAGGTATAAATCTTTCAAGGAAGTAGTTTTGAAGACAAAATTTATTTGCTATGAACTCCTTCCTTTCCTGATATTTATAGCACTAAATTCACTCATGTAGTAAAATATACATTACTTTTTTCTTGTCATGCTTTTCTCTCTGGTCTTTACTGTTTCTGGTGTAAAAAGGTAGCAGTATCCTCATCCCTATGTAACCATCCTTCTCACAACATTCTCCTGACACCACTCATACCATGAAACGTTCTTAGAATTTTTTTCCTCCTAATTTTTAGGAAGCTCCAAAGGAAAATGCTATGTAGTCTACTACATTGTCTATGATACTTTTCCTATTCTTAGAGGTATAAAATTTTAGATTTTTCATCCATTCATTTATAAAATTTTAGGAACAAGTTGACAGCAACCATAAATGTTTCAAAATTAGCTATTACAACTTTGCACAGTGTTATCCAACCAATGAGCTTTTACCTGAGATATGATTATTACTAATAGAATTAACCATTGCGATTTTCCAGAACCACTTATAGTGCCATGTTTGTGTGACAGATGTATGATAGTTGCATTATGGAATCTATTAATCCCATAGAGACCTTGTATAAAGAGTTTATAACTTTTGCATTACACCCAGCTGTACTCCAGCGCAGTTTACTGTTTTATGATTTTTAAAGTAAGGATTTTATCAGTAGCTGAATATTAATAAAGTTTCTAGAACTTGTTCTTTCTGAAAAGACATAAAAATAAAGTGAAGATTTACTGGGGCAATTTTGTAGCTGAATCCTTCAGTTCTAAATATAAGAGAGGGGAAAAAAGAACCTTCTAATACAGCTACAGACGAGTTTAGAGGTCCTTAAAATCCCACGTAGAATGTGATGATGATGCTTTCATATGATACTAACTACATGGAAAGAAATAAGAAAACCAATAATGCAGTCAAGAAATAATCTTTATTTGGACATTAAAGTATAGTCTAATTAGTGCAAAGACAGACAATATTCCAATGAACTGGAGAGAGGAAAGGATGTGTAAAAATGTTTGTGCTCTGCTTGGAATCAGCATTGGAAGAGTGGGGTTAGTAGAGGGAGAGGACACTTGGAGAATGACCCTAAAACTCAAATCTAGGACTGATTTTCTACTTGGGGGCCCAGATTTTGATATTTTATTTCCTCAAACCCATGAACAGTCCTAAAGAATATGATCTTACTGTAGCATCTTTTACCAAAGTTCATTCCTCCAAAAAATTGTACATTAAAGTGAAAAAGGACAAGTTCTTCAGAAATACTACATTTTTGCAATTGTTCAAATTAATTGAGGAACTTTGATCATGATCTGGCAAGATGATAAACAGCAGAAATGTCTCAGCTCCCCGAGACTTGAATTTAAAGTGAGCTCACCTCTAGTCCTTTTGATGATAGTTACAAGCTTGTACCTTTGTCCTCCTGGGTTTTCCTATCAGTAGCCCATTTCTGGTCTTACGGCACCGAGAAAACATTCATTTGACCTTAAAATTCAATAATGAGTTAAGCAGAATAAATAGCTACACAGGCCAGTCCAAGGTCGCAGAGCTTCTGTTCCAAATTTTCATGTACTTCATGCATATGCATACGCATATGCTTCAGTTTTTAGAAAGAAAGGATTATAATCAGGGTAGAAATGAATATTGGAACCCTGACATTTTGCACATTGCTCTGTGTAAAGGGAAGAGTGCAGAATCAAATTCTGGATGTCCAAATGTGCTCAGAGTACCAACATGCCTTCCTTCCTACTTAAGTATTCTCTAGGACATTGTATACACTTGACAAAAGGACTGCTGCTGAACTCAGAAAACTCCAGCAGAATGTTTGGTCTTGGTCAACAGCAAGGGTGCTGATGTTAGGTAAATCCTGGCATTAAAGCTGTGGAGGTGCTCATATCTATGTTTTCCTCATTACTGAGGGTTCACTCATATATACACTGCAGAAGAAAACAAGAAGGCAAGCGGGGCCTTATGATCAAGAAAAAAATCCAAGAAAAAAATTTAAACATAAGCACAATTAAACAAATTACAGAGTGGTTTACTTCTGAGAAAGGTAAGAATTGGCTGTGGATTTAGGAAGCACAGCCTAATTACTAACACAGATAAATGTCTTTTCTAATTGAATTGTAAGGTGGGACAAGCATATCCTGTCTCCTGAAGCAGCAAGTGTAGTTCCTGGACCTCATCTGTACCTGCCAACACCTGGCAACTTTTTAGACTCCAAATCTTTTGGCCAATTATATCGAAATTCTGGGAATTAGACCCAGCAATTTGTCTTAATGAGATCTCCAGGTGATTTTGATAAGATATCATTTGAAATATGCCTTTTACTAGAATCACAAAATCTGAATCTCTATAACATGACAAAATTCTAAATACAAGATTACTGTATCAGGATTTTTGTACTTATAATTTATAGTCACTTAAAGATACTGAATCAGGACTGGTGAGATGGCTTATCGGGTAAAGGTGCTTGCTGCCAAGCTTGACAATCACTGTTTGATTCCTAGAGCCAAAAGGGTAGAGGAAAGAACTGACACTCACAAGTTGTCCTCTGACCTCCACATGTACACCACAACACACACATGAAGTAATAAATAAATGATAAATAATAAATAAATGTAAACAAATTAAGATGCCGAATCAATGGTTCTAATGATGAATTTAGGATGCCTCCTTGTATTTATATTAAATCTATGTACCCCACTTGACTTTTTTCCTTTGAAGCTTTTATTATTTCTTTTAAAGGATTTTACTTCATATGTATATATATATGTATTTTCATTTTATGTGTATGAGTATTTTGCTGGCATGTATGTGCACCATGTGCATACAGTGCCTGTAAAAACTGGAAGAGGGCATCAGATCCCCCGGAACTAGAATTAGAGATGGTTGTAAGTTGTCATGAGGGTGCTGGGAACTGAATTTGGATTCTCTGCATGAAAGAGCAGCCAGTGCTATTAACTGCTGAGCCATCTCCCAGCCCCTAAGCTTTTATTCTTGAATGAATAGTTTTATGTATCAACGCTAATCTGTTGGAAATAAGAAATAATATTTCTTAAAATAAGCATTTGTAGCTTTCAAATTATGTATATATGCAATATTTTCAGCATCTGTTCTATTAGTAGTTGGGAAAAGAAGATGTCTAGACGCTTCTTATATTCTGTAGGCCTTATTTGCATCTTCAGTAAAATGAAGTGTTGAACATGACTTCTGAAGCTCCTCCCATTTCCTAAGAAACATGAATTACAAAATTGCTAAGTATTTTCTTTCTCTATATACTAAGCATCTTTGTTAACACTGACTCTCTGTTACTGTTTATAGTTTGAGATTTTTTTTAGCGAGCTTCTATATAAATACAGACTTTGAAAAAAAATGAATATAGTAATAGAAGTTACCTATTTTACTAAAGGTAGTAAAGGACAAAGCATATATTAGATACTATGACATATAATTATAATTTTATACCGTTACAGAATAAAGTTCAGACTCATTATGTAGTTTAATATATATATGCATATACCTACACAAATATCACTCAATTTATCAAAATACACTAGAATTTGGCTCTAATTGTGTTTCCTATTTCAATTCAGCATAGGCCTTTGGCTCTAATGAAGCTGGTTTCTCACTTTCATAGAAACACATCTTCTTTATTTCCTTCTTTT